TCGATAGAGACGCGTGATACTAGGAAGCGATAGAAAGCGTGCGAAAACGAGACTGAACGAGGCGAACTGGCGAACAAGAAAGCAAAAAAGAAAGAAAGAGAGAGAGGGAGAGAGAGAGAGGAAGGGAGCGCGTGAGACGAAAGGGAGAAAGAAATCGAACGAGAGAATGAGAAAATGAAACGACGAAAGAACGAAAGTGCGTGCGTGCGTGAGAAAGAGAGAAAACGTGAGATATAGAATGAGAGACGGGGCAAGTTGGAGAGAGTTGTGCATCGTGGCCGTTCTGGCTTTGTCGGTTACAGCGTAGTCGCGGCTTCGGCTTCATCACGTTCGCCGAGCCCGGTAGCGTCGACAAGGTGCTGAAGTGTCCAATCCACACGTTGGACGGCAAGAAGATCGACCCGAAACACGCGACGCCCAAGAACCGCGCCAAACAGGCGAACCGCACCAAGAAGATCTTCGTCGGCGGCGTGAGCCAGGACACGAGCAGCGACGAAGTGAAGGCCTACTTCAACCAGTTCGGCAAGGTGGAGGAGACGGTGATGCTGATGGACCAGCAGACGAAGCGGCACCGCGGCTTCGGGTTCGTCACGTTCGAGAACGAGGACGTAGTGGACCGCGTGTGCGAGATCCACTTCCACACCATCAAGAACAAGAAGGTCGAGTGCAAGAAGGCACAGCCGAAGGAGGCGGTGCAGCCGGGCGCGTTGACCCTCGGCAAGAGGGTGGTGTTGGGAGCGCTTGGCGTCCGACTGGCGCCACAGCCGCCTCTGCCGGTCGCCGCGGCCTCGCAGATCGTCGCGGCCCAGGCACAGGCCCAAGTGCAAGCCGCCGCGGCCGCCGCCGCCGCCGCCCAGGTGCAGAACGCTGTCGCCGGTTACGGGAAGCTGTTCGCCGCCAGCAGTTACCCGGCCCTCTCCGCCTACCGATACGCGCCGTACCCGATCCCGACGGCGGCGGTGGCCGCGGCCGCGGCTGCGGCCGCAGCAGCACCGGCCCCGGCTCCGGCCCCGCCGGCGGCCGCCGCCGCCGCAGCCGCTGCCGCCGCGGCCACCACCCCCGCGGCGGCTGCCGCGGCCGCGGCTGCGCCCGCCAACCCCTACCAGGGATACTCGCTCACCAACGTCGACATGTCCAGCTTCCAGGGCGTCGACTGGGGCTCCATGTACGGAATGGGCATGTACGTTTAAACCTCGTCGTCGTCGTCGTCGTCGTCGTCGTCG